GCGCCCACACACTGATCTCAACTCATTCCAAAGGGAGAGTCCCTTTTCTGGAAGAGTGGAAAAATCTGGCAGATGCCATCTTAATCAAATAACCCAAGAAATGTCATCAATAATGTGACAAAATCATGCCCATCTTGAGGACACAGCCTCACTTTCATGATCTTCCTGAATCTCCTCATGGGAAGGTGTCAGGCAAGCCAAGATGGAGGGGTGACTGACAAAATAACTGCCTGTGACCTTCAGAGAGGTCAAGGTCAGGAGAGTCAAGGGAAGACTGAAGAACCCCCAGCGGGGAACAGACTGAGGAGACATGAGCAAACCCAGCACAGACGCCTCCGCTGGATCCTTTGCTACAGGGATCTCCATGGGGACAGCAGGTGGCTTCCTGTCCAACCCTGCTGTTCTGTGGCACATAGGACTGTCACCCTGCTCCCTGCCTTCATGGGCACCTGGTCTCCTACCCGTGTGCAGGTCTCCCTTGTGTCCAGATCTCCCTTTTATACAGACACCAATCCTGGAGGACGTGGGTCCTCTGTAACCTCACCTCCATTTGCTCACATCTGTAAAGACCCAATTTCCACAAAAGGTCACAGACCAAGTACTGGAGGTTGTGACATCAGGACCTTCTGGCAGGACACAGTTCAACTCCTGAGCCCTTTAGGAAAGGCAGGGTGTGACAAACAATGGTAATGTCCCTCAACATTGGGTACACGCCAGATGCTGCCTGGGGTCTTGAGACTCCTGTCACCCTCTCCAGGATTCAGGTGCCAAGTGTGATAAGGGGCACAGACATGAAGGGCCCACCTGGGTCCTGGGCTTAATCACTGAGGGAGAGATGAGTAGGGGCAGAGGACAGGAGGGGAGGGAGGAGGGAGGAGGCCAGAGGAGCAGAGGGGACAGCTGGGGACACAGTCCACCTGAAGAAGAGTGGGGGAAGGGATTTGCTGGTGGGTAAGTGGGACAGGGCCCAGGGCGGGGATGAAGGGAGCCCAGGTGGACAGGGAGGCTGTGCTGTGACAGCAGACCAGGAGCCACATGGTCACACAGCGTCACTCAGCAAGCTTTATTAGGCACCTGTGTCCTCATAGCTGACTTGGCCCCGAGGATCTAGCCCATGACAGGGGCCCATTCCTCCTTCCCTGGGGTCACCCGCCCACGGGGGCTGTAGCAGCCAGGTGAAATGACAAGGGAGAGTTAGGTGGCTTTGGTCTTCATCACCACATCCATTTTGGCCACATGAACATTGGACACGGTGGCTCTGATGCTCAGGGAGCCATCCTTCAGCTCCAGGGCCCCCTGAGGGGTCTGCAGGATGCACTTCACCACCTTGGGATCCGGGGCCTCCTTCTTCATGATGCCATCAAAGACCTGCTCCAGGCCGTCCTGGGCCAGCGGCCCCCTGAGCACGGCCAGGGCAAACTGGATGCGATGGAGGGTGTAGCTGAAGGGGACGGAGAACAGCAGGGCCAGGTGCTCATCTGGGCCCTGGTAGGCCAGCAGGCCCGCCGTGCCCTGGAAGCTGGAGCTCGTCTTTGTGAAGGAACAGTGGATGGTGGACTTCGGGGGAAGCACAGGTGGTGGTCTCACGTGGGCCTGGCCACTCCGACAGCAGAGCCTGGGAGAGGAGTGGGGCCCCGTGTGTCTGCAGGCAGTGTTGTGCACTGCACGAGAGGGACTCATGACTTGGGGGAGACGCTCGTCCACTAGGTACCTGATTGCCCCAGCCCCACCACCTACCGTGGAGCTCCTGTCGGCTACATTGATTTGTCCAACATGGTGAACGCTAAGCACACGAGTGCAGAACTCGGCCTACAGCTAACTCTTCCCCTGCGTCAAACACCATGGCACCCGCCAGAGGGCACAGGATGGAGCTCTGTCCACGTCTCCAATCCCATGTCACTCAGGGCTTCTCCCACACCCTCCCTGACCCAGCCTTCATCCTGTTCCTTAAACAGACCTAAGTCACTCCTGCCAGGACCATGGCTACCTGCTCAGCATCCAGGCCCAGGCCACAGGCTCTCCCTCTGGGGCCTTCCCAGAGCACCACCCCCTTTCCTAGGACCCTCG